GGGAAACAAGCTCTTACCCTCAGAATGTTTTGTTCTTCCAGTTGAGTCACCTCCAGGGTTATGAAAGGACAAAAGCTAATAGAATATTTTCACTTTAGTTGAATACTGCCCTCTGCTGGAACATGCATACAGTTTCTATTGTCCAACAAGCACATACAGGTAAAAGCATTGTTTAGATCTATAAAATACATATGTTGCTTGGAATTAGAGGACTAGAGTTTCTGTCCAGGTTATTTTGCTTATTGGTTGAGTGACTGCAGTCCAACTAGCAGCCAGGTATGTATTAACTCGTCTGTCCCCTAGGCCCATCAAACTCAACCTGTCTAAAACTGATCCTTCTTCCCGTAAGGCCTGTCCATCCAGGGACACACCAGGAATCACCTCACCGCTGACACTCACATGACATGCTACACCTTCAGGACAGAACCCACCTCTCCAAACTCATTGCACTGCTATGATGCTGGCCTTCTTCTGCCTTACTTTCAGCAGCCCTCTGGCCTCTCCAATCCATTCTCCACACTCTCACAGTCACCCTTCTAAAATAATAATCTAATATTATTTACTTCAAACAGCTTCCTAGAGCTGTTGGGGTAGAGTTCCGTTTTCTCACCTGGTGTACAAACCCTGCAACCTGCCTCTATCCCAAGCCTATGTTCCTGGCATATTACACACTTACTTACACACACACACTCCACACACACCATACTCCAGGACTGTAAAGTGACCTACATTTCCCCCAGTGCATCATCTGGTTCAGGGCTCTGTATTGCATATATTTCCCCTGTCTAGAATTCCCTTCCCTTTATTAGATCACAGCTCCAGGGTCACCTCCTCCAGGAAGCTTTCCCTGACCACTCCATCATCACATTCTACAGAGTTCTGATAGTGCAATAGCCATAAGACTCCTGTAGCACTTACCATAATGTGCTGGGAAAGCTTTTTTTCCTGCCCCAATCTCAAATTGTTCATCCCATATGGGCAAAAACTTAGAATTTAAGTACATATTTAGACATTACATTGTTCTAAATTAGTTTGAAGGTGTATCACAGGGGAATAAAAATATACAAGACATTAAGCAAAGATCAGAAGTTGACGTTTTTAAAAAACAAAGGCAAAGCAAGGGCGAAGGCTTAAGAAATAAAGGTAATGCAAAAATGTATCCGGCAGTACCCCACACGTTCGCAGTCGGCCGGCCAGGAACTTAGCTCCACCTTTTAATCAGCCAACTAGAAGCAAGAAACTGATCGGTTACAGTCAGAGCAGTAAAGCCAGCCAAACGCTCAGCGAAGCCAGCTTTCCTGACATGCGACCAGAAGAGGTCTCCCTGCAGGTCACCCAGCACCACCTCGGGCAGCAGGGCCGGCTGCAGCTCCCTGGGCACAGCCAGCACGCTGCCCGCGGCAGCGAACAGAGAGGGCGTCTCCACGGGGCCCACGCGGGTGCCGCTGTGGGAGGCTCGGCGGGTCAGCCTCCCCCAGAGTGTGTGCCGTGTGGGTGGGCCACACAGACTTCCACAGACTTTCCTTCTCCAAGATGACTGTTTTAACAAACATGGGGACAAAGAGTTTAAGATTATACTGCCTGACAAATACCTGGAATGAAATTATTCTACGTTCTAATTACATGCAGAATAAAAGGGATTAACCAGTTGTCAGCAACCCCAGCAACTGGCATGGTGGCTCTCAGCCCTATCAGACTGTCGTCTCTTTAAATGAACAGACAGTTTGTAATGTCCCCTCCATGATCCTGGGTTTAAAAAGAGAATATACCCTACTCCCAAATACGTACAACCCTAGCCTCACATATAATGTCAAAAAATAAAAACAGTGCTCTAACATATAAAGCAAAAGGAAACCGATAAAAAATAATATGTATTTCAATATATAAAACCTTTGGCCTAACTACCCTAGAAGACATGGTGATGTAGTCAGATTCTTGGAACTACTGTGTTTTAGAAAATAAAACAGCCCGGCGGGCATGGCTCAGCGGTTGAGCATCGACCTAGGATCCAGGCGATCGGGGTTCGATTCCCGGTCAGGGCACATGCCCGGGGTGCGGCTCGATCCACAGTCAGGGGCGTGCAGAAGGCAGCCGATCAATGACTCTCATCATTGATGTTTCCCTCTCTCTCTCTTCCTCTCCCTTCCTCTCTCTGAAATCAATAAATAAAATATTTTTTAAAAGAAAACAAAAATATCAGAATCCATTCCACATAACAAGTGCAGGAGTACTCCAGGGCAGGTGAGAAGGCTCCCTAGAATCACAGTGTGTGTTTACTGTTAGGACTCACTAACAGGTCAGACTTGTTTGTGTATGTAAAGAGGGAAGAACCTGAGTGGAAGCAGAAACTGCACATCCAGAGAAACTGCCAAGTTGGAGAAAATAAGAAAGTACCCCATCCCGGCAAATGAGCCGGGTGTTACGTACGAATGCAACATCAACACGATTCCATGGGTCAGGACATGGAACAGAGCAGTAACGATGTGGTATAAACATTTCACCCCCTGTAGGCTCCCACCTCGAGTGGATTTGTACCATCAGTCTCTGAGGCTCCCTCAGGACTGTGAGACACGCAGCAGGACAGCCCGGGCCTGCAGGGCTGTCTGTATCCCGCAAACACCCGCAGCCCGGCCCTCACCCCTGCAGGCCAGGAGTGCTCCCCACTACCCTTGGGACAACAAAAACAGCTCACATCCTCCGTCTTCTTTAAGGCCCACTAGCCCAGCGCAGAGCAGGGGCCCACAGAGGTGGGACAGCTAAGGAACAGGCGAGGGAAACGGGATGAGCAAACGGAGCTTGCAAATGAGGGGAACCCTCTGTGTGTCAGGAGAGTGCCCTGAAGATCAGGAATGCGGCGGGACTGGCCCAGGACCTGGAGAAGAGCACTCAGTAAATGCTAATTGAGAAAAAAAAGTGGGAAAACGCAGTATCTCATTCGATGCTGTTGGAGGACCCGGGGCCACATAGTAGCCCACAGCCCTGGCCTTGCCCCTGAGCCCTGGTTCTGGCTCCGCCTCACCGTGCCCTTCAGCCCCAGCGAGCTAGCTGGTCCCGGGCGCTTTCCTAGCTCCCGACCCGAGGGAGAGGGAGCGAGCATACCTTCCTCGGTTTCTGCAGCACTGGAGGGCATGTCTGGGCTTTCCTCCCGCCTGGTTTCTTGCTCTTCAAGAGTCTAAGGAAGCAAGAAAAACATAAATCACTGAATAGCATTTGAGGCTTCGAACGGGCAACAAAGATAAAATCACACTCAAGGATCTCAGAGCTGGGACAGGCCAGCAGCGTGTCAGGAAAGACCGTGAGAGATGTTGGAGGAACCTGGCGGCGTGGGCCAAAACTTCCCCGAAACAAATCCTCTACCGCTTCCCCAGGTCACAGCAAGGCTCTCAGGAGTGGGATGCATGAACCAAAAAGAAGACAGAGAACAGAACATCTTGAAACCGGACTGTTTTATGCATCTGCCCACCTAGACCAACCCCCATCCACACCCTGAGACACAGGGGTCTCGGGGACCCAGCACCACCATCACGCAGCGGACCCAGGCTGAGCGCGGGCCTTGGGCTGCAGGCTCACACGCACAGGTGCGGGCTGACCCCGCTGAGACGGAGTCTGTGAGCCTCTGAGAGAAGCTGCCCTCTTTGGAACCCTCGTATTTTCTTTTGAAATGGATTTCCCACAGCCAGTGAAAATGTGAAGAAATATAGAATTATGTGTTAATGGATCAAATGGTAAAACAGCCCCAGACTGCATTAGCACATGTCCCAAACTGAACACGTGGGCAAACGTGGGCGGACAACCCTACAACCGACACACACGCCTGCATCCCCCTGGGCGTGTGACTAAGCTCAGTGCATCAATTCTCAGCATTCTCATGGCCAAAACGCTGCCACAGGGAGAGAACTAAAACACGATTAAAAGATTCAGCTAAGATTTTGCCTATTATTTAATTTCCTAATATCTTTATAGTTTGGATATGTAGCACCAGCCTGTCGTTGTTTAACGTTTAATATTCATTACAAATTACCAGCCCACCAGTGCCAGCTGTAACAGGATGTGAGGGCAAGAATCCTTTACAACTTGAACAGTGCGGCTGAGTGGGGTCGGCCGACTGGCTCTCAGGCGTGGTCCAGCAAACTTAGGTTCTGCAGCAAGGTTTTACTATTGTTCTAGAAGCTGCAGGTAACTGGGCAATGCTCAAACCCTGGGACTGAAGATGCCTCCGTAGCAATACTGCGGATATACTGTGGTTCACTGAGGATGAATTAGTCCCTCAGATCAAGTCAGATATAAAATTAGACTTTTAGACACCTAAGATTTAAGAAAGCACAAATACTTTATTGCAATACATAATATCATATTTGTTACCCAAAAGTGTAAAGCTTTAGTGTGGACAGCCTATGTAACAATTACCACCTGCTTACATTTAAAATAACACCTAACCAAGTAAGAAGTACCACAAATATTTTTTTTAATTCAATAATACCATAAAAACATTTTGTTGGGCACGTAAGAATTAATGACTCTGGATATCCTAAAGAATTCCAGCCTTGCTCCCTTCCGGTCACCCAGCCACACAGCTCGGGATAGGAAGAAAAAGAGGCGTGCTAACACCTGGAACACAGGCCGTTCCACTGTAACTGATGCTTTTATCATAAACAAACACTCTCAGTGTTTTTCATGAAACAAAAATCTCCAAGTAAGTGGAAAGCAATTTCCATTTGGTCTTTGTTTTGTGAGGTCCACCAGGAAAGAGTATTGAAGCATCTACACTTACTCCTAAACCTTCCGCAAGGAGATCAGCGTTATCTCAAGTGTGTTATGAGAAATCACAAATCCAAACCGAGAAGCTGGAGGATCTTACAATGGAAAGAAAGCTCAATAATCGTTGCTATACACAGAGCTTGCTCCATCCTTCTGAAGCGCTGTGTTGCCAGGCGCCCACGGCGGTCTGAGGATACACATGTGGCTGAGCTCCACCCTGAGGGACCTGCACGGAGCAGAGCTCATCCTGAGCAGTGCTCTCCCAGGCCAAGCCTCTGCCCAGCGGAGCAGCTCTCAACTAGATCGGCTCGGCCCTTTTACTCAAAATAGCATTTTGCTTAATAATAATTATAAGATGTAAAAAGTCTGTATATTCTTCCAGATTCCACACAAAAAATTAAAATAATGAAGATGCAACATTTTAAAGCTCAAGATGGGCATGCTCTGACAGCCCTCAATGCTGGTGTTTGGGCCCCGGTGGGACGGGGGAAACCCTCTTTAAAAAAGAACTGGTTTTAAGTGAGCAGACCCCATTCAAGAAGAATCTGTACACTGGGACAAATGCTTAACCACACCTAAGCCATAAGAAACCCCACAAGTAGGTATTACACATGTAAAATAACCCTAATTGCAACTACTTTAGATAGGAATTATAATATAGTCAATACATTAACAGAAAATTTCCAATGTTAGAACTTTAAAAGCCAACATTGGCAAGGCTGGCTCATAAAAAATAAAAGAAACAAGAATAATCTATAAATTGCCATTTTCTACTATAGAGATGTTACATAATAATCTTCATTCTACTGTGTACGTTTCCAATTCCCCGGCCCCCGGGCTTCTATTAGGAAAACACGGTTCCCCAAACAACGCGTGCGGCCCGCGCTCCGCGGGCGCGTGTTACTGTAGGCTAGGATAATGGGGCACAAACCTTGGAGAGAAAGGCTCTGTCCCGAAAGTATTTCCTGAAGAGTTTAATATCGGCCTCCAGCAGATGCTCGGCCGTGTGGTTCAGCGTCAGCGTGAGCGTTTCCGACGCGTGGGTGTACCGCAGGACGGCATCTTCGCTGAGCCGCGCTCGGGAGCAGCCCGGGGAGCGTCTGCCCTGGAAACTGAGTGGCACAAATCAAAACCCGCGCACACTCCGGAGCACCAGCCCCGAGCCCAGCACCCTCGCTGCCCCCGGTATCGCAAATCCGACCGGCGAAACAATCCTCCAAAGCCACCTGCTGACAGTAAGTACAGAAGATCATGGAAGCAGGTTCTAATAAAGCCATCTTTCTTTCTCCACCTGGAGGAGATACCAGTGGAAAAGCCATTCACATGTATCATATACATTAAAGATTTATGTACATAATGAAACTGCTGACTATTAAGCATAGTGCTTTACCTCAATATTTCATTCCCCTTTCACTCTGAAAAGATGCCTCTCCCTTTAATGGAGCCACATGTAGAGCAAATTAGCCAGCAGCCACCCGTTTATTAGATGATTACAGTGGAAAACAGACATGATCTCCAGGGAACGTGGTGAGGTTTGGATATTGCAAACAGTGAGATATTCAGAACACACTGGCCGACTGTTGTAAATCATGTTCTCATGCAAATTAAAACATGCATAAATTCGATCGTGCTGTATGCCTGAATACACTCATACACAAAGGAACAACATTCCCAAACTAAATTCTTGACTATCAGCATATTTTCTGTTCCGTTTGGCTAAGAACAGTTCCACTTTTATTAGCTGTATGCAGGCTCCATGGCTAGTATCATAATATTCTGGATGGCTGATCAGGTCCTACGATAAACACAGTAAAGAAGCCTCAGGAGGAAAATGTGAGTGTCTCCCAGGGAACAGCCCCCCAGCATGTCGTCACATCCCAACAGCTTGCTCCCAGGTTCCTTACATCGCAGAACCAGGGCTCTGCCTCTTTCCCCTCCACTCGTGACTTCATTCTGTTCATGAAGATCTGCTTTTCAAAAATGTAGTGTACTTCCAACCAAATAAACGTTATCTCCATCACACGGAGCGACAGCAAGAGATCCATAAAGAGCACTTACACTCTAAGGTTTGGGGCATCTCCCTAAACTCTGGGCACTAATCACTGGCAGGGACTCCAGAATCTCCCAGGAAACATCTTCCTATTCCAAAGACAAGCCACTGTGGCAAATGGACAACGGACTCCGAGCCTAAGCAATCCGATCACCGCTATTAATTTAGAAAATGGAAGGTCTACATTTAGCTTACAGTCCGTCTACTTCTAACCCCATGAATGGATGTATTAGATGTGTAAACTTTTAAAACACGTAATATCTGCAGGTCTTGGACCCTGTAGAAAGATAAAAGCTACCAAGAATGAAGTCAGCCTCCAGGATCTCAATGTAACACTAAGTCCTGTCTTCCCTGTTTTAGCCAAAAAAGCAGGATCATGTTAGAGCAAAGGAAAGGGCAATTCCCTGTGGATGGGCTCTCTCCTTGGTTGGTGATCATCTGACCAAACTGGGGGGCCAGGGAGACACAGAAAGCTCTGACTTCTACTCCAATGTCCAAGTATGTACCATAAAACCATAAATTAATTACATTGGGTTCTATGAGCCAAACGAGAAAGACTAGTCCATTAATACTATAGTAATGCTGACAACATTTCATATTTACGTAGCGCTTTGTAATTTTTAATTTACTTTCCCATTTATCTGGGGGGTTTTTTCCACATTTTAAGTGAAGAAAATTACCATATATGAATCCTTGTTTCATAGCTTAAAAATAATGACCGATCTGAACCATTCTAAGTAACAAACAGTACATTCATAATTCACTGAGAGTGTGGATATCATCGTCAACACAGACAACTTCACAGCTGACAAATTATTTCTTTTACATTATTTCACTAGATCCTGATCCACCCACTGGCTTTATAGTGTTTTAAGGTTTCTCTGTTATTTACTGATTCAAAAACATTTATATTCTTTCAGTGAATGTTACATGCTGAACACCGCAGTGTGTGAACCAGAAATAGTTTCAGCCCTCCGATGATTTAGGAGGGAGGCATACGAAACAGGTGATCACTATATATAGAAAATTCTAAATTACAACTAATACTGTGAATGATTTTAGTCACAATTACTGCTGTGAATTAATAAGCATAAAAGACCATCACACAAAAGGCCTCTCTGAAGAAGCGACATTAAAGCTGAAACCTGAAAGATAAGTAGGGGTTATTAATTATTATTAAGTATAGCTCCTCATAGAGATTTTAAGGCATCTTCCCCTAACTACTCCTCCCCCATGAAGTGTTAATGCCAAATATATCTGTATATCTGCGTATGTGATATGTATACACCTGTACCTTACACATGAGGACTAATGGGAAAACATAAACCAACATTAGCTTGTGGTTTGGTTATTTCAATTTTTCCATTATGAACAGCAGACTTTCTAGAAACAGATTAAGAGAGAAACTACTAAGTAGCCAAACTCACTTTGTGATGTCTTCGGCCAGCGTGGAGTGTCCACCATCTAAAGCTAAGTCTAAAGGCGTGGCACCCTCTTCATTGGGCAAAGCCAAGGCCTGAGCTCCCCCCGGGAGGCACACGAGGAACTGGGACAACTTAGGCAGGCCCCATCGCACAGCCAAGTGGAGCAGAGACTCTCTGGGAAGAACAACTGAGGAGAAGACACACATATATTAGTCCCTCTGTTTACAAATTCTGTCTCATACATTTTATCAGAGACCACATATCAGACACAATAAGAATGGCAGAGCCAGAAGGAACCATCATAAGCATCTAATCCGAACAACTCATCTTAGAGATGTGGAGAGTTCAGTGACTTATCCAAGGTCAGGCAGGTACCGGAGTCAAGTCTGCTCTTTCCACCCACTACGGTGCACGTTCGCATCGCCTTTCACTCACGTGCAGTAACGTCATCAGGGGAAACAGGTGCCAGGAGCAGACCACCCTTTGGGGTCAGACACTGTCTGGGGAGCTGGTGCTCCTGCAGCAGGGCAGGCTCTCAGGGGCCAGTGCCAGAGAGCAGCCTGTTTCCACCCTCTGTCCTCAGACGTGCTCTCCCCTGATGAAAAACTGGGACAGAAATGGGCTTCTTCTTTACAGCTGCATAGTACTCCATGGTGTAAATGTCCCACAACTTTTTTATCCACTCATCTACTGATGGGCCCTTGGGCTGTTTCCAGATCTTAGCTATTGTAAACTGTGCTGCTATGAACATCGGGGTGTGTATATTCTTTCTGATTAGTGTTTCAGGATTCTTAGGATACATTCCTAGGAGTGGAATCACTGGGTCAAAAGGCAGCTCCATTTGTAATTTTTTGAGGAACCTCCATACTGCTTTCCCCTGGAGAGTATTATGCTAAGTGAAATAAGCCAGGCAGAGAAAGAAAAACACCACATGATCTTGCTTATACGTGGAATCTAAAGAACTTAATAAACAGATGAACAGAATAAATTCAATGACATGGAAGCATAGATCAGACTGACGAATGTCAGAGGGATGGAGGAGGGTGGGTGGGTGGAGGGGGAGAGAGTGACCAAAGAATTTATATGCAGATATGCACAACCCAAGGACACGGACAATAGAGGGGAGAGGGACTGGGGAGGGGGATGGGACGGGGTGGAATGGGTCAGAAAAAGGGACATCTGTAATATTTTAAACAAAAATTAAATTTAAAAAATTAAATTAAATTAAAAAAGAAAAAAAGGAAATGGGCTTCACATGTCCAGAAAACTGGAGACCATGGTCCTCCCCAAACTTCATCTATCTATTAGATCTGTGGGATTATTTCAATGTATCCAAAGCCACCCCAGCTCCTGGCTCATCTGCGTGTCTTGGTTTCATTGCAGTATTTCCTGCTCTATATACTATGGTGGTTTCCTAACTATATCATCTGACAGGTGAAGGGGGTCCTTCAAGTTTTTATTCCTAACATCCAGCAACCTATCTGACAAACAGAAGTCATTTGGTATTTGTGGAGGCGAATGGCAATTGACTGTTAAAATCTCAATTATTTGTGTATGTTTAAACCACCTGGTTTATACAGAGTTTGTGCACCTGTATTTCCACTGCAATGACCCAGTGCCTGGAACACAAGCGGCCCGTGATAAACATTACATTGGAAATATGTAAAAGAACCAATTTGCTTACATTTAAAAAGCAAGCCCAGGCCCGTGGACTCCAGAGACATCAAGACACACCTTAAAACAAGCCTAATCTTAACAAGCTAAACATGAAAATTCTAAGATTCAAGATCTGTGGACTAAACATGCAGTAAGAATCTGACTTATACATGCCCTCCTGCTAAGTACTGTGACTATGTGTGTACCTGAAAGAGATCCAGACAACCCTGCCTCACACTGGGCGACAGGGCTGAGAGGGAGGGGCCTGCTCTGTCCTTTCTCCTGGCATAGTGACTGGCACATGTGATGTGCTCTATATATATTTGTTTATTGAATGAATGAATGAATGACCAATGGCTCTTTCCCTGGTGCGCACCCATGGAAGTCAGCTTTTAATAACTACAGCAATTTGGACCTGCAGCTGCCATTTGGAGCATCTCTCATTCTTGGTTCTGCCTCTGATATCTCTTAACTAAACTCAGACATGAACTACCTACTCCCACATACAAGTTAGACACTCAGGACAAAAGCCACCTACTTCTCCACACAGCTTACCGTCCGCACTAACATGATTTTACTATCCCACTGTCTTCAGCAGCATAACTTGACTATTCCATTTACTCACCCAGGCAAATGACTGACTGACCACTATGGGAATTTCCTTTAAAACCCGTCAACTCTTCAACAGACAGTTTTTAAGCCCTGAAACCAATGTTTATTATATCATGACCCTTACCCAATCCTAGTCAAACTCCCCTCCCTGCCCACCACCCTACCACCGCTCCCCTGCATTAAAAGGCCCTCATTAAACCAAACGTCAAGTCCTCAATAAACTGCACTTGGCCTTACCCACCGGAGACACTGCTAGGATGTGTGGAGGGGAGCTCTCCCCTACACAGCACGCAGCAAGCTCGCTTTGTCTTACTAGCAGGCGGTGGGGATGCTATTGGGGGAGCCAGCGTCCAGCAAAGCTCTAGTTTGAAACAACCAGGAAATACTCCACTGCACATGGATGCAAAGAAAACTGCTTAGTTTACATTTAAACTAATTTATACTGCTATTTCTATATCTAGATCAGTGAACATATGGCCTTATATTTTAAATAGGTAAATGAGCCCTCCCAGTGAAATGACAGGGACTTCATGTGTATTTGCCAATCATGCACCTGAGTGACACAGCACAGACTCCCAGGAAGGGGACATCCGAAATGTCAAAACATCTAAGCCCAGGGAAGGTGGTGTGCGCACGGGGACACACACATACACACACACAGACACATTTCAATATACTTCATATCTTCAAAAGAACTGTGGTGGCTATTAAATAGCTTGTCTTTAATTATTTTAGCCTTTAAATTTTGACCTTTAAGTCTGTTTTATTAGAAAGTGGGATTCTTTTTCTTAGCCGATTCCCGACAAGGCATGTTTGATGTTTCCATTTTGTTTCCTTTTTAAATGGTAATCAGGAAGAGGGTTGTTAGGGTCAGGTAACAAAACAAACACACGCATGTACACTCCCCAACATGCCTGTCAGCGTGAGACTGTTACCAGCCGCACTAGGATGGACTTTCTAAGTCATCAACCCCAATCTGAATCTGGGGAGCGTGTCCCATGGCTATACAGGACACAGTTTTCTTCCAAGAAAAATATGACCAGGAACACCTAAACGTTCTGCATTCCCTTTTAGAATAATGCCCCTGATAAAGGTGGGGATGATGCCCGCCATTTCAAAGGTACTCCCTGCTGTGCCCGGTAAATGCCCTAAACCCCCCCAAACCCCAGGTGTGCTTCACTGTGCTTAGCCCGACAGACAGCGTGTGTGGGGGGGCCCTGTTTCCTCCACCAGGAGGGCTTTCCAGGCCTGTCCTGTTAGCCCAGCTCCCTGTTCCCTCCTTTCTGGCTCCATCCTCACATCTAGTTCAATGGGAAGGAACAGTAAGTGCAGGGGACTGAATGTCACTCCCTCCACCCACCCCTCCTTCTTCCAGAATCTACCCACTTCCTAGGGTGATGGGAAGGCAGGGGGAAAGAGATCTTCTACTGTTTCGGGGGAGGGGGGAGAAAAAAAACATACAAAGCCAAGCAAAATGTTTGAGAGCTCTTTCTCATTCAGTATAAAAGTTCAGAGCACAGAATCAGCCAAAGAGCTTGAAACAGGAAACAGTAAGACATATATAAATTATTATGTTTGTTATAGAGTTTCAGATTCCTAACAGCAGTCAGGAAAACAAGCTCTGTAAAGGGGTTATACAATTTGGCAGAGGTGGAGGTGTTCAATTAAAATGAAATCTTTTATCCCCAAATAAATAGGTCCCTTCCTGTTTAGTTGGTACCAGGAGTTGTTTGAATTAATTGTAACTGCCACAGAATGACTAAGAATTGCTCTAATGGCAAACATTAAAAGGTATGACCTGTACCATCCTGGGAGCAAGATCACCCAGACACAGAGAGGAACTGAGCCGGCTGTGCCATTCAATCCACATTCCCATCGGGGCATAAACGGAGGCTCATCTGCCCCAGACAGAAGGGGGCTGCAAGGAAAATACTAAATGGGACAGAGTTCTCAAGAGCTAGGGAAGCCAGGATTGGGGGACTTATCAGTCATATACATTTGTCTGGTCTTTTAATACCAAAAAGTATAATAAACAGTCACTAAGCTGATATGTGGTACATTTGAAAACAGTTTTCCTCTGGCTATAATTTAAAAGCATAATTTAAGGGAACTGGCTGTCTGCTCAGGAGGCACTGTGATTGCATCAGCAGAAGACACCAGCTGGGCCATCAGCCGAGTGCGCTTCGGCCACGCCCCGGGCAGCAGGCGCTCGCTCACTCGGTGCCATCAGCAGCGATTATGTCAGGCACCCTTTCCAGACTGCGCAGTGACTTTTTCATTTGCTAATATTTCTTCAGGGCTACGATTTGCACCCACCATCCATGCAGTCATTAGATGTTTGCTGACGGCCCAAATGCGCCAGGCGTTCTCTGCTCTCCCCTCACAGCACAGGCACCTCCAATTCACTCACCAGGTACCCTGTCTTGTTTCGGAGACAAAAATGCAATGCGGCCTAATTGGATTATTGACAAGCAGAAAAGGTGTCGATTCAACCTATCTTGGAAATGGCCTTTGGAAGCCCGCAATGTGAGTTGATATCAAATGCAGCCAGGAAACCGGCCACTCCTCGGCGGCCAGGGGGGGTCCGCTCACTGCCTTTCACTGAAAGCCAGAGCTGCGAGTGCAAAGGCCCAGCTGAGAAATATTACACTCTGGATGTGAGCTACAACTTCAATTAACAGAGGAAAAAGTACACTTTTCCTTAAGAGTTCACTTCTGTATTAAATTTTTTCCTACCAGAAAAGCCATCCCTTAAAAATGAAAAGCTAAAAAAGGATGGGAGAGAGAGGAAACATGTTTAAATTGAGGATTTAAAACCTCACAAACGATGCAGAGGGTGTGTGTGTGTGTGTGTGTGTGTGTGTGTGTGTCTGAGTGTGTGTGTGTGTGTCTGTGTGTGTGTGTATGTCTGAGTGTGTG